ATAAATCCTAACTTATCTATTATAAGGAAATAACGAAATAAACTAACTCTAGTCCAAATAGGACTCTAAATGACAAGAAATAAATTGTCCAATAATAAAATACGAAAATTGATAATAATCATCTTTTCCAAGTCATGGCTTCTTGGCTGGATGACTAGACGGGCTCAAGTCCTTGAGCTCGGCTTGCTTCACAATCTGGCCCGATAATTCGCTCCAATTAATCTCAGCTGGGATCGAACAAGGCTTCGTCATATGAACAAATCTCTGACTGGCCGCTTTTGGCTAGGTCAACTTCTAAATATGTACATCATTACCGGCATCATAAGAACCTCTTGGCACATGCAGCTCGTCCAAGTCATCAACTCCTTCATCCAGCTCGGCACTACCTCGCGTAATTGGCTGGATCGTATCAATATCACATATAACTTCATTCATGATCCTTTTCTTTGAAATCCTTCTCTTTATCGGGTACCCTTGAAGTGTGGTACTTGACTGATAGCAATAGGCTTTCGTTTTCGGAACCTGTTCATCATATTTGGCCAATAGATAATACGGGGTTTCCATACCGGCCTTTCGACCTCAGGTATTAGCCGTATTTCATTTCATTAATTGTGGGTTTTCCATACTGGTCTTTCGACCTCAGGTATTTGCCACCATGTGTTGGGTCCGCCGGTTCCTCCCGCGTCCCTTGCCTACTCGACCATCAATCAAGTACCATACTCCCATTTTCAAAACATATTCTTTCATATCACTATGACTCATCAATCATTCAAACATCATGGAGAACACATAGCAAAATTCACATTAAAACACACATAATTAGGTTCTTATGATGAACAAATGAAAGCTTCAACTTACCTCAAGTCCAATATGGTCTATGAAGTGAAAAGATCAGTCTCATATAGGTTGTGCTAGAGTCCTTGATTATAGATGAATTCAAACTTCAAAACGTAGGATTTTCAGCTAGAAAAGATGAAGAACTTGTTCTAGCTATACTTCTATGAGTTCTTAGGGTTTGATATTCTCTTATGTGAATATGAAAGTGAAGAAATAAGAAGAGAAGCTTAAGTGAATAGGTCTGGTCGTTTTTGGAAGAAGACAAGTGAAAATGAAGACCAAAACTCAAAGTCTTCACTTATCTACCCATTCCCAACAAGGCCAAATGGAGGGTGGTGATTGGAAGGCTTGTATTTGCTGGATTCTTGTGGTTCCTCCACGTTTTTATAGCTTGACATGAGATAGGGGGCTGATGCTTACTCATTATAATCAAGTGTAAACAATTTTAGAATGGTCTTGTGAAACCTAGTCAACCAACCAATCAAATTGCACCCTTTTGCATACTTTTGGTTTTAGTCTAATATGAGTTACTTCAAGCAATTACATATGTAATTAATCATATTAAAATGTAATTAAAATGCAGAACTGCAATTAAGACAAATATATCAGCGTTTAGCACATTGATCCCTTCTTAACCGAGAAACTGAGCTTCTAACTACAATAAATCACTTAAGTCTCATGTTAAATCATAAAATAGGAGTTCAATAACATGTATCATGTATCAGCACATTTTAAGAAAAGTATTCGATCACATATTAAAACACAATTAAGGCACATGTGTAACAAGTAGTCGTGATCATGCATCATGAATAATGAATTATAACTACATGCATTGATGCAATATGCTTATTATTGGCCATGTACGGATGATTGGGCATTACAATCCTTCCCTCCTTATAAAATTTCGCCCTCGAAATTTGACGTACCGAACAATTCTGGATATTTGCTATGCATTTCTTCCTCTCTTTCCCACGTGGCTTCTTCAATAGATTGATTTCTCCACAATACCTTAACTAATGGAATCTTTTTATTTCTCAGCTCCTTGAGTTTTTGATCAATAATTTGAATTGGTTTCTCCTCATAAGACAAATCTGCAGAAAACTCCAACGGTTCATAACTCAACACATGAGAGGGATTTGAAATGTACTTCTTCAACATAGACACATGGAAAACATTGTGAACACCAGATAATGAAGGAGGTAAGGCTACTCTATATGCTCTATCACCAACTCTTTCAAGGATTTCAAACGGACCAACATATCTCGGACTAAGATTTCCTTTCTTTCCAAATCTCATGATGCCTTTCAATGGAGCCACTTTCAAAAATACATGGTCGCCAACCGTAAACTCTAGATCTCTTCTTCGTTTATCTGCATAACTTTTCTGTCTACTCTGTGCCGTCTTCATTCTTTCCCTTATCTTTTGTACCGTCTCAGCTGTATGTTGCACCATCTCTGGCCCAAGTAGACTTCTTTCGCCAACTTCATCCCAATGAACTGGAGATCTACATTTTCTCCCATATAGTGCTTCATAAGGTGCCATTCCAATTGTGGATTGATAGCTGTTATTGTAAGTGAACTCTATCAATGGAAGCTTTTCATCCCAGCTCCCTCTCAAATCTAGAACACAAGCTCTTAACATATCCTCAAGTATTTGAATAACTCTCTCGGATTGTCCATCGGTCTGTGGATGAAATGCTGTACTAAATGCAAGCTTCGTACCCATGGCATTGTGCAAACTCTTCCAAAATGCAGAAGTAAACTTCGGATCTCTATCAGACACTATTGACACTGGCACTCCATGCAATCTAACTACCTCTTTAATATATTGTTGTGCATATTGCTCCATGTTGAATGTGGACTTCACTGGAAGAAAATGGGCTGATTTAGTTAGTCTATCAACAACCACCCATATGGAATTGTATCCCCTTTGTGTTCAAGGCAATCCAAGCACAAAATCCATTGTAATATGCTCCCATTTCCACTCTGGAATCAGTAAAGGTTTCAATAGTCCTGCGGGCCTTTGATGTTCCATTTTAACTTGTTGACAAGCCACAAACTTTGCTATATCTTTCTTCATGTTAGGCCACCAGTAGTGTAGTTGTAAGTCTTTGTACATTTTTGTGCTGCCCGGGTGCACTGAGTAAGGACTTCTGTGAGCTTCTTCCAAAATGTCGCCCTTTATGTTAGCATCAAAAGGAACACACAATCTGCCTTTATATCTAATTATTTCATCGTTACCAATAGAGAAGTTCGGCCTCTTCTTAGCATCAATCATACTTCGCAACCTGGACAAATACTTATCCACTTTCTGAGCCTCTTTGATTCGGTCATGCAATACGGGTTTTAATACTAAAGATGATAAAGAACTAACCGTCCCTTTAGGTACAATTTCAAGCTCTAATCTTTGTAAATCCGGTAGTATTGGTTTCTGCATAACAAGGAAGGAAGACATAGATTTTCGACTCAATGCATCTGCAACTACATTAGCTTTACCAGGATGATAGTTAATCACACAGTCATAATCCTTCACAAGTTCTAACCATCTTCGTTGTCTCATATTCAATTCTTTCTGAGTGAAGAAGTACTTCAAGCTCTTGTGATCCGTGTAAATCTCACATTTCTCACCATATAGGTAATGCCTCCAAATTTTCAAGGCAAACACAACAGCAACAAGCTCTAAATCATGAGTTGGGTAATTCTTCTCATATTCCTTCAATTGTCTTGAAGCATAGGCAATAACATTCCCATGTTGTATCAATACAGCACCCAATCCATTTTTTGAAGCATCACTATACACTACGAATCCACCTGTTCCAGAAGGAATGACAAGAACATGAGCTGTAGTCAATCTCCGTTTCAACTCTTGAAAGCTACTTTCACATGCATCAGTCCATACATACTTCACGTTCTTTCGTGTAAGCATTTTTAATGGAGTTGCTATCTTCGAAAATCCCTGAACAAATCTTCGATAATATCCTGCCAATCCTAAGAAACTTCTAACCTCTGATACAGTTGTTGGTGTTGGCCAATTTTTGACAGCTTCTATCTTACTCGGATCGACAGAAATACCATTCTTGGACACGACATGCCCTAGGAATACAACTTGATCAAGCCAAAACTCGCACTTCTTAAATTTAGCATATAGTTGCCGTTCTTTCAATATTTGCAACACCACTCTCAAATGTTCTCTATGTTCGTCTTTATCATGGGAATAGATCAAGATATCATCAATGAACACAATCACAAATTTGTCAAGGAACTCCTTGAACACCCTATTCATCAAATCCATAAAAGTTGCGGGGGCATTTGTTAAGCCAAAGGGCATGACTAGAAATTCATAATGCCCGTACCTTGTTCTAAATGCAGTCTTTTGTATGTCATCCTCCTTTATTTTCAATTGATGATACCCGGAGCGTAAATCGATCTTCGAAAATATTGATGCTCCTTGCAATTGATCAAACAAATCATCTATTTTGGGTAGTGGATATTTGTTCTTGATTGTAAGTTTGTTCAGTTCTCTATAATCGATGCATAAACGTAATGTACCATCTTTCTTTTTCACAAACAAAACCGGTGCTCCCCAAGGAGAATAACTCGGCCGAATAAGACCTTTATGCAACAAGTCTTGTAGTTGAATCTTCAACTCTTTTAGTTCTGTTGGTGCCATTCTGTATGGAGCTTTAGAAATAGGAGTACTTCCAGGCAACGTATCAATAACAAATTCAATTTCACGATCCGGTGGCAGTCCTGGCAAGTCATCTGGGAATACCTCAAGAAATTGATCAACCACATCCACATCTTGGGGTTTCAATTGTGTTCGTACTGAAGTGTCCATAACATTAACCAAGTATCCAACACAACCCTTACTCATCATCTTTTGAGCCTTCAATGCAGCTATAAATGGTATTGAAGATGAAAGTGAATGACCGCCGAACTCGAAATGTTCTTCACCAGGTGGTTGGAAGATGACAACCTTCCGATTAGAATTAATGGTTGCATAATATTTTGTAAGCCAATCCATGCCCAAAATAGTCTCAAAATTTGCGACAGGTAAAACAACAAGATCCGCACAAAGTGTTCTACCACTAATCTGAATAAAACAATGTTTCAACATTTGGTTGGAATTCATCTCTTCCCCTGATGGAGTCGTCACATTGTACATCACATCCAACGTATCTGGTACAATCCCCAATCTCCTCACCAATGAATGTGATGCAAATGAATGAGTAGATCCTGAGTCTATTAATGCAAGTGCTGGAGTTCCTAAAATTAAAATAGTACCTGAGACAACGGATGCATCTACATCAGCTTGTTCTTTAGTCAATGCATACACTCTCGCTTGAACTTTGACTGGTGGGGTGCGACAATCCCTTGCAATATGCCCTGGCTTCTTACACCTGAAGCAACGATTTAAACCGCTATAGCATTCTCCAAAATGATTCTTCCCACATGTGGCACACTTGGGCTTATCAACTGTAGTAGAACTTTGTACAACTCTAGGGCGCTTCTCATTTACTTGGCCTGGTTTTTGCTCTGGTTTCTTCCATTGAGATTGAGTTCTTGGAGTAAAAGTTTGCCTCTTCTGTTGATGAAATTTCTGAATTTCCTTCTCTTCAAAGTCAGCCATCAATGCGTTGTCCACCACTTGTCGAAACTCGTTTGGAGAAGAGATCCTTACATCTTTTCTAATAACTGGGTTGAGGCCTCTCATGAAGTGATCCATCTTTTCTTTGTCATCTTTGGCTATGTAAGGTACATACTTGCAACCTTCCTCGAATTTTCGCACGTAGTCACATACGGACATTTCATTCTGCTTCAATTCTAAGAACTCTTTAACTTTGAGTGACCGGACATCCCTCGTGAAATACTTGTCATAAAAGATTGTTTTGAATGCCTCCCATGTCAACTTCTCCATATCCACTGCAAGTTTTGTACCCTCCCACCAAGTTCTAGCTTCTTTCTTCAATAGGAAAATGGCACAAAGTACTTTCTCGGAATCTTCGATACGCATGTAGTCAAAGATGACATCTAGAGATTTAACCCATTCTTCTGCAACCATAGGATCAGACCCACCATAGAAATCAACCGGTTCCATTTTACGAAATTTCTCATACACGGTAAGAGAGTTATCGTGTCTAGCTTGTGGAGGAGGTTATTGGTTTTGTTCATGGGTTCGCTGTTGCATATCGAACAATTTTTGTATATGTTCGCCATGCATTCTAGTCTGTTGCTGAATCAAACCAACTAAATTATCAACTAAGTTGTAGTCACCCTCGTGGTCAACATTCCCTGTCTTCCTTTTTGGTGCCATTACTTCCTATACATTGTCGAATCTCATCCCATTCATTAGCCAATACTAATGCACAATCATGACAATGGCATACATATGTTAAGATAATCAAACACATAGGTAAATAATAATAGATTTAACCAAGCTTCCTAGCCAAAGTATGTTCATATGCCTTCTTCTGTCTTCAGAAAAGATTTTAAACCTCCGCTCTGATACCACAAAATGTAACGCCCCACAACCTAACAGCAGAATCCAATCGGATCACCACCATTAAGTTAGGGATGCTAACCTTTTTATATACACTTAAATATTATGGTTTTAATACAAAAATAAGTTATATGCTTTGAAAAGAAATCAAACTTTGTGCTTTCTCAAACTCTGTACATATACGTATATAAATATTTAATGTTTACAAAATTACATTGTACAAAAACCATAATAGAGCGGCTAACAAAATTAAATCAGAGTTTCTAGCTCGGCTACAAAAATGGCTCGAAGCATGGCATATGAACAAATCTCTGACTGGCCGCTTTTGGCTAGGTCAACTTCTAAATATGTACATCATTACCTGCATCATAAGAACCTAATGAGCTAATGGTTCAGCAAGTTGAAACTGACGTAATAGGATTAATTTATATTTCTGTTTGGATTAATTTATATTTCTGTTTGGATTAATTTATATTTCTGTTTGGATTAATTTATATTTCTGTTTTTATTGGTGGATTTGGTATCATTTAGGTACAAATCGAAAATTAGGTGTCGAGGAAGCAATTAAGAAAATAAAATCAAATTAGAAGAGAGAATCCATCAACATCTTTGGTAGTGTCCACGAAGTGGAGCATAACTCTCTCATCCGGACTCCAAATCGACTGGTTCTGGTGGCATTAGAAAGCTATTTCAGTGGGCTACAATTCCCGTCTAACGTCAAAATTCCAAATTCGGACTCGAACATGGTCAAAATATGATAACAAAAGCGATCATGAAAATACGTACTACAATTCAAGGATGTGGATGCGCATCAAGAAACGTGCACAGAAACACTCGCTGGAAAAGATACGCACATGAGTAAAAGTTCAAAAGCATGCACAAAAGTACTCAAGCAAAAGTGCATTCCCAAAAAGGATCATGAAAACACAAACTACAATCCTAGGACATTAATACAAATCAACAAACATGCACAAACACGCTCCCTCAAATGGACATGCACAAAAACGTACATGTAAAAAAACATGCGCAAAAGTGCATCCCAAACAACGTTCTTCAAAACACGAACTACAATACAATGACTTTAATACGCATCAACAGACAACATAAAAAACACTAGATAAAAAAGATACAATGGATTGTAGCAATAATACTCGACGTTTACGTTTACGTGGATTTTTGTTTGGATTAATTTATATTTCTGTTTTTATTGGTGGATTTGGTATCTTTAAGGTGCAAATCGAAAATTAGGTGTCCAGGAAGCAAAAATGATCAAAGGGTAAGAAAAGAGTTGCAATTAAGAATATAAAATCAAATTAGAAGAGAGAATCCCTCATCATCTTTGGTAGTGTCCACGAAGTCGAGCATAACTCTCTCATCCGGACTCCAAATCGACTGGTTCCGGTGGCATTAGAAAGCCATTTTAGTGGGCTACAATTCCCGTCTAACGTCAAAATTCCAAATTCGGACTCGAACATGGTCAAAATTGGATAACAAAAGCGATCATGAAAATACGTACTACGATTCAAGGACGTGAATGCGCATCAAGAAACGTGCACAAAAACACTCGCTAGAAAAGATACGCACATGAGTAAAAGTTCAAAAGCATGCACAAAAGTACTCACGCAAAAGTGAATTCCCAAAAAGGATCATGAAAACACAAACTACAATCATAGGACATTAATACAAATCAACAAACATGCACAAACACGCTCCCTCAAATGGACATGCACAAAAATGTACATGTAAAAAAACATGCGCAAAAGTGCATCCGCAACAACGTTCTTGAAAACACGAACTATAATAATATGACTTTAATACGCATCAACAGACAACAACACAAACACTAGATAAAAAAGATAAAATGGAGTGTAGCAATAATACTCGACGTTTACGTTTACGTGGATTTTTGTTTGGATTAATTTATATTTCTGTTTTTATTGGTGGATTTGGTATCATTAAGGTACAAATCGAACATTAGGTGTGCATGAAGCAAAAATGATCAAAGAGTAAGAAAAGAGTTGCAATTAAGAAAATAAAATCAAATTAGAAGAGAGAATCCCTCAACATCTTTGGTAGTGTCCACGAAGTCGAGCATAACTCTCTCATCCGGACTCCAAATCGACTAGTTCCGGTGGCATTAGAAAGCTATTTCAGTGGGCTACAATTCCCGTCTAACGTCAAAATTCCAAATTCGGACTCGAACATGGTCAAAATTGGATAACAAAAGCGATCATGAAAATACGTACTACAATTCAAGGACGTGGATGCGCATCAAGAAACGTGCACAGAAACACTCGCTGGAAAAGATACGCACATGAGTAAAAGTTCAAAAGCATGCACAAAAGTACTCAAGCAAAAGTGCATTCCCAAAAAGGATCATGAAAACACAAACTACAATCCTAGGACATTAATACAAATCAACAAACATGCACAAACACGCTCCCTCAAATGGTCATGCACAAAAACGTACATGTAAAAAAACATGCGCAAAAGTACATCCCAAACAACGTTCTTCAAAACACGAACTACAATACAATGACTTTAATACGCATCAACAGACAACATCAAAAACACTAGATAAAAAAGATACAATGGATTGTAGCAATAATACTCGACGTTTACGTTTACGTGGATTTTTGTTTGGAATAATTTATATTTCTGTTTTTATTGGTGGATTTGGTATCTTTTAGGTGCAAATCGAAAATTAGGTGTCCAGGAAGCAAAAATGATCAAAGGGTAAGAAAAGAGTTGCAATTAAGAATATAAAATCAAATTAGAAGAGAGAATCCCTCAACATCTTTGGTAGTGTCCACGAAGTCGAGCATAACTCTCTCATCCGGACTCCAAATCGACTGGTTTCGGTGGCATTAGAAAGCTATTTCAGTGGGCTACAATTCCCGTCTAACGTCAAAGTTCCAAATTCGGACTCGAACATGGTCAAAATTGGATAACAAAAGCAATCATGAAAATACGTACTACAATTCAAGGACGTGAATGCGCATCAAGAAACGTGCACAAAAACACTCGCTAGAAACGATACGCACATGAGTAAAAGTTCAAAAGCATGCACAAAAGTACTCAAGCAAAAGTGCATTCCCAAAAAGGATCATGAAAACACAAACTACAATCCTAGGACATTAATACAAATCAACAAACATGCACAAACACGCTCCCTCAAATGGACATGCACAAAAACGTACATGTAAAAAAACATTTGCAAAAGTGCATCCGAAACAACGTTCTTAAAAACACGAACTACAATACAATGACTTTAATACGCATCAACAGACAACATAAAAACACTAGATAAAAAAGATAAAATGGAGTGTAGCAATAATACTCGACGTTTACGTTTACGTGGATTTTTGTTTGGATTAATTTATATTTCTGTTTTTATTGGTGGATTTGGTATCTTTTAGGTACAAATCGAAAATTAGGTGTCCAGGAAGCAAAAATGATCAAAGGGTAAGAAAAGAGTTGCAATTAAGAAAATAAAATCAAATTAGAAGAGAGAATCCCTCAACATCTTTGGTAGTGTCCACGAAGTCGAGCATAACTCTCTCATCCGGACTCCAAATCGACTGGTTCCGGTGGCATAAGAAAGCTATTTCAGTGGGCTACAATTCCCGTCTAACGTCAAAATTCCAAATTCGTACTCGAACATGGTCAAAATTGGATAACAAAAGCGATCATGAACATACGTACTACAATTCAAGGACGTGAATGCGCATCAAGAAACGTGCACAAAAACACTCGCTGGAAAGGATACGCACATGAGTAAAAGTTCAAAAGCATGCACAAAAGTACTCAAGCAAAAGTGCATTCCCAAAAAGGATCATGAAAACACAAACTACAATCCTAGGACATTAATACAAATCAACAAACATGCACAAACACGCTCCCTCAAATGGACATGCACAAAAACGTAATGTAAAAAAACATGCGCAAAAGTGCATCCGAAACAACGTTCTTAAAAACACGAACAACAATACAATGACTTTAATACGCATCAACAGACAACATCAAAAACACTAGATAAAAAAGATAAAATGGAGTGTAGCAATAATACTCGACGTTTACGTTTACGTGGATTTTTGTTTGGATTAATTTATATTTCTGTTTTTATTGGTGGATTTGGTATCTTTTAGGTACAAATCGAAAATTAGGTGTCCAGGAAGAAAAAATGATCAAAGGGTAAACAAAGAGTTGAAATTAAGAAAATAAAATCAAATTAGAAGAGAGAATCCCTCAACATCTTTGGTAGTGTCCACGAAGTCGAGCATAACTCTCTCATCCGGAATCCAAATCGACTGGTTCCGGTGGCATAAGAAAGCTATTCAGTGGGCTACAATTCCCGTCTAACGTCAAAATTCCAAATTCGTACTCGAACATGGTCAAAATTGGATAACAAAAGCGATCATCAACATACGTACTACAATTCAAGGACGTGAATGCGCATCAAGAAACATGCACAAAAACACTCGCTGGAAAGGATACGCACATGAGCAAAAGTTCAAAAGCATGCACAAAAGTACTCAAGCAAAAGTGCATTCCCAAAAAGGATCATGAAAACACAAACTACAATCCTAGGACATTAA